CTCTTATACACATCTAGATGTGTATAAGAGACAGCCTCTCTGCACCCCCCCTTCCTCCCTCCCCCCATTGTCTCTCCCTTTTCCCCTGGCTTCCCGCTTCCCGATACCCTTGGTGCTTTTCCTCTTTCCCATCTCCCCCCTTGTCTCTTTCCCCCTCCTCCACCTGTGGCCGATTCGACTGTTTGAATTGTCAGGTACATATTTACAACAGAGGGGCATCTGTTTCCGATCAGGCCGGAGTATTCCCTGCGGTCCGAACACTGTACTTACCCAGGGAGCCCTTGCAAGGTTGGTCTGAAAGGTCAGGCAGCGAAGAAAGCGACCGAAGGGCAGCATCTGGACCACGATGTAGGCCGCACTGGTAAAGGATCTTGGTCAGCGGCGAGCAGACAAGATGACAGCCAAGCCAAAGAACAAGAGGAATGGGAAGTCGCCAGGAGCCGGGGTCGTCAGGCAGCTCAGTCGTTAGCTGTAAGTGACGGATCCGATAGATCATAGTCTAAGCAATGAGAGGAATTTGAATATTCTACACGCCCCGAGACTTGTCGAGAAATGTTTTATTGCCTATGAAAGTCGGAGGCAATACGCCCGAGCCTGGCGGACTTGCACTGTGCGCCAAGCTTTTTGCTAAAACTGTCCGTGGTGCACTTTTTTCCCTGTTGGGCTGTCGCTGCCGGCCATTGTGGTCCGGTAGCCCCAAGCCTCCAAAATTTTATGAGTGACATTTCGGCGAAGCCAGTGCTTGTGGTGTTTGTACTTATTTTCTGCGAATGAATATTTGAATTATATGTCATTTCATTATTATCTGGCGAATCGTTGCTCTTTTTAGGGCGTTGCCGCACGGGACACGAAACGAAAAACGAAATGAGCGCATCTTCCTGCAGAAAATTGCCAGGTTCATCGGTTTGCTATAAATAGTAACGAGTGTATTTTGCCACCTTTCGTGGGCAGATGCACTCGTTTCGTTTTCGTTTCGTGTGCCGTGCGGCSAGACCCTTAAACCACCACTGTTTCCGAGGCTGTTTTTACCAATCTGAAATCATGTTGCACACCAAACAAAAAAAAAAGGAACGGACGGTGCCCATCATTTCTTTTTTCTTTTGGATGCCGGCGCCAGCCACTCTGCTGCAGTAGCCCCGAGGCCGCAAATCTTGGGGATGTATATCCATTTACAGTTTTACACTTGTTATTTTCGCCGGGGGTGCAAAGTGGTGTGTTAACGTCTTGCATTTTCACTTGCAATTTGTATGACGCTTAGAAGCTCCGATAAGACGGTAAGTGCAAAATGGGAGTGTGATGCGATACTCACATGTGCTTCTTCCACCTGCACTGCTTTCTGTTTATCAGGGACTCTGTCCGAAGCCCTCATTTTGGAGGAAGATAGCCCTTCAAGGGCCCACCGATGGCGCGGCGTTGATGAATACGCTGTCACAGAGGCAGTCTGATCGTGCAGATGCGAGGATCATAAGGCTAATAAATATGGTTACGTCGAAGGTTGCACAGGAAGGTGGGGACAGCCGGGGGGTAGCAGCTGGCGGCAGGAGTGAAGGAGATGTGAATGTGAAAGATTGCGGCGGTGCTCCGTGCAAGAAAGGAGCGAAACGCCGGAAAGGTCCTCTCAGAGTGAAGATTGTCGAGCCGGAGAAGGTTTTCGGTGGGGCCAGCGCCGCTGTTATTCAATTGGTGGTCAAGGAGGAGCAGCGGGATGCCAAGAATGAAACGAAAGCTGATAGTGAGGGGAGCAGTTGGTCTTGCTTTCTCATGTCGATCGCTCTTCCAGGGTTGATATGGATGTTCCTCGGCCGAAGCAAGAAGGGTGAAAAAGAGGAGGAACACGCGTTGACGATCAAAGGAAGCAGAGTGGCACCTGAGCTCTTGTACTTGACCACAGTGCATGAAGGCGATGAGGAAAACACGGAAGAAGGAAGCACCGAGGAAGGGAGTGGAGAAGAAAGTACCACGACCACAGAGGAGGGGAGCACAGAGGAGGAGAGCACGTGTGGGTCAAGCGCTCACAGCAGCCGGGAAGCTATGGTGACGGAGAAGCAAAAGGCCATTGTGGTAGGTGAACGCAAACCAGTGGAAATGGAAAATGAGGAAAACCGGCAAGAAATGGAGAGTTTGGATCCCCCGATCAGGCTAGAATTAGTGGAAAACATGGAAGAAGAGCTGAGGAAAGAGGAGGGGAAAGAGGAGGATGAGGAGAAGGAGGATGTGCGCGAGGTAGCGGTTGTGAGTAACGGAGACGTGAAGGTGGTAAACGTCAAACTGGTGTCGAAGTCTCTTGTATTATCCCCGGCGGCATTCCCGAGCCAGAGCGGTAAAATAATGGACACTGTTTTGAGGGAGGAGGACGAGGTAAAGAACCGGATCCAAAATGGCGGCGACTTTCTCAGCACGGGTGCGTGCCAGGGCGGATACTCGACTTCCGGAGGGGAAGAGGTGTGCCAGAAGAAGGAGCTGCAGGATCGGATCGCACTGGAGGATCAGTTGGCCAGTGCGATGACATTGCAAGCGCTATCGAAGCAACAGATGCAGAGCGGCAATCATGTTGGAAAGGAGAGAGACGATGATTCCTTTGTGAAAGTCGGAAGAGGAGCATCACCAAGGGTCATACCTGGCCACCCAGATTCAGGATCTGAGGAGGACAGAAGAGCTGCTGAAGATGAAGGAGGAAGGACCATACGTAGGGATGGATCGGGATCGGGAAGCCAGGTCATTGATGTGGGTGTTGTGGAAGGCAGCCCTGCAGTCCCAACGGCAAGCGTCGGCGATAAAACGGCCCCTGTCGTGGAGCCGAAGTCTGCAGGTGACATGCACTGTGATGCAGAGGCAGAGAAAAATCGTTCGTGGTGGGGACGCGGTCGTTCAAGAGATTTCATGAGGAGACTGAAATGGTTCCGAAGAGACTCTGTGACGGAGATTGAGTGGGAAGAGGACTCAGGAAGAAAGTGGAAGGGCGAGGAATCGGGCTCATGGTTTGGATGGGCACTCAGAGGAAAGGCGGGCACAAGTGAGACGGGTCCAAGGATGACTCGCCGCCTCAGCTCGAAGCTCTGGTCGCGCATTTTTGGAGCGCAGAAGGCAGAAAGTGAGGAAACGTACCCCGAGACCGAGAGCGATGTCGGTCGTGGGTGGGTTCGCGGCAAGGTAGCAAGGCTGTGGTCAGTTATACGGCGGGACAAGGCCAGACAGGCGCGACTCACCTGGAACGACAGCAAAGAGGTGCCGGAGAGCGGCGAGCTGGAAAGCCGCTCAGACCCCAAAGGGAGACAGCCCCACACAACGGGCAAGGTTGGCGATGACGAGGGGAAGGAGTCGGAGCAGTTTGGGGATGCCCATGGGAAGAATGGGTTGTGGCAGTTTGGCAAGAAGAGTTCAAAGAAGAAAGTCGATGTGGTCGGAATAGAGGGTCCATGGGGTGTTGATGGGGGTGTTGCTGGGTGTGGAGGTTTCATGTGCATGCCTGTCAGGACAAGGAAGGGCTCTCGGCAGCTGGATTTTCGAGGCTGAGCACGAATTCTAGGCTTGCGCGATTCTGCTGCTAGACTTTAGGAAACCAGACAAGTGAGTAGTTGGCAGTGTGTGTGTGTGTGTGATCCCAGCAGGTGTGTAGACGACGAGCTATCGCTTTTGCCACGGGTGTGACAAACCCCTCCTCACCTGAAAGCCTAGTTCTGCCCTTACAGCGACCTCAGGAGACAGCAAACTGAGTAGCAGTCACATAAGAGGAGGTGGCTTTTGTTCCTTCCTCCCTCATCAACTTCCACTGTCTTTCTGCCAAAGGGCTATGCTTGGGACTGTCCAATCAAAAGCCCCCTTTATGGGATGCATGACGCGGAGAACTCCGAGAACATACCCTACAGGTTCTTGAGGGATCGAAACAGGCAGTGGAGACGATCAGTCAGCCACCAGCATGAAGTTGCCTCGTCAGGCGTCACATAGGAACAGGCAGCGGGGATGGACAGTCGGCAACCAGCATGAGGTTTCCTAGTCAGGCAGCATATAGAAAGAGGCAGCAGGGACAAGCATTCAACTACCAGTGTGACGTTTCCTAGTCGGGCAGCACTGGCCATCGAGTGAGCGGTTGTGTGGTGGAGCTGCTGATGGCGGGAAACAATCCTTGGCCCGATTGCAAAGCAGAGGGTTGGTGTGCATTTGAACCAGGTTGCTAGTGGAGCTGGTGGTGGGGCAGAAGGAACTTGGCCGACTGGGCTATGTCTGTGCTAGAACCTGGTCTGCATTTGGACCAGGTTGCTGACAGTTTAGCACATGTATAGCCCAGTGGGGATCAGCGTGGGGCACGTTGCCTGCCTGCTCTTTTAAGCATCATTGGTGTCCGCCGATTTGCGAAGGGGAAGGAGGATGAGATAGGATTCCTCTCTATGTTGCTTGTTTGGCAGCAGGATGCCTGCCCTGAATTAGAAAACCTTGGGTGCGTTTGTTGCGGTTGAGCCGGTGAACTAAGAATCAGAACTCCCTGGAAGTGTTGTGGTTGTCGGCCGATGGAGGTATAGGATTTCTCTCTAAGTTACTTGTTCGGCAAGAGGAAGTCCTGCTCTATCGGACAGTGGTGCGCTTATCACAATTGGGTCGTTCAACTCACATCTGAACTGCCTTGCAAGACAACAGAAACCCCTGGACAGAAGAACTCCCTTTGCAGCAGATAGAACAGGAGAGAGGGTGGAAGAGGCATCGTGAGTGGAAGGAAGGCTTCCTGTCTGCTAGTTTGGAAAGCGGTAGCCCGCTCTCCTCGACAGAAGCTAGGTATAGTGGTTGTCCTCTTTCACCAGTTGAATTTGCTGGGAAGTACAGAGGGAGCATCCTGACAGAAGCACACCAACTGAATCTCCCACAACACGAGAGGGAGGGAGGGGTGGTATTATGGGTATCAAGGAGGTGCGCTCTCTGCTTGTTGGACAAGTAGAAGTGTATCGTGTGTCGCAAAAGCCTGGTATGCTCGCTCGTCTTGTCTACGAGTAGGATTAGCGGGCAAGTTAGGGACACAGCCGCTTCCTTTCTCTTAGTGGACTGTACCTCTTGACGAACGCAGATCGATTGGACCAATCAGAGCCTGAGAGGAAAGAGGTATGTATTGTCGGTGTGCTAACGTGAAATCCTGTTCCTCCAAGCTGGCGTCAGAACATCGCTACACCGGTGGTACTATTTTGGGAGGTTAACTACTATGGACCAAAACAATACTTTTTTTTATTTATATGAGACTCTTATGTACAGAGGCTACTGCTGCTGTTCGACAATGGGAAGGCTTCCTCGCAATGGTAATGCAGATCTGCGACAGTGAGAATTCGACTCGCCTGCTTGCCGTCGTCTTCTCATCTTTCAGTTCCCAGGCAATTTCAACAGGCGCCCGCCGTCTACTCTGCAACAGTGAGAGTGCGGATTGAATGCTCGACGTCTTCTCTTCCATTGCCTCAGAACATTAATGGATGCGTGTCGTCTGCTCTACAGCTCGTATGCTTTGCCATTTCCTACTCCACGGCAGTGAGAGTGCAGGTTGCATGCTTGCCGTTGCCAGGCAACTTTGACAGGTGCTCGCCATCTCCTTTCTCTACGACTTGCATGATCAGAGTGAAACTTGCGACCGGCATGCGGATCATCGTCTCCTTTTTCGTTCATCGGGCATTTTCAACAAGCACTGCTTCTAACTCGCAACTGTTTCTTGTCTGCACGCTCATTCTCCTCGCTTGTAAATCAGACACTCACAATCTGAAATATAAGGCCAGATCCGATCATGCCTTTTTCTGCTGACATAGATCATGCCCACGGAGCAGACAGCTGAAGGTGTCAGCTTCACACACACACACACACACACACACACACACACACAGACACACACACAGACACACACACACACACACACACACACACACACACACACACACACACACACACACA